CCCCCCACCCCCACGCTAATTTCCGGGCCAACAAGAGTGATTAATATAAGTGGAAATAACTTGTTTCAAAATTATTGTAAAATAAATCAAGTTTATATTTTATATTCTCTTCTTTTAGCATTGCCATTAATCTTCTCTTTCAAATATGCATTTCCAGTCATTTCAGTTGAAATGTTTGACAAATTTGTAACAAAATTTCCTTGACACTAAATCCTCAAAAATATGGATGATATGTATGCCAGTGGACCAGTGGAGGTATTCTTTCCTCACAGACATAATCTAGTTTTAAGATATGTTTATATTTATGATATACTAATTCCATTGTGTGGTTGTTGCATATTTGCATATTCATTTTCATATCCTTTATAATGTAGGTCAACCACGCCAAGATCACAGAGTGGAGACTAACTACAGTTTTGGTTTAGCCACTTCCGAAACCTTAACTATTCCTGCCAATTTTCTCTCCAACCCAATGCCATCATTCAGCTGGACATTCCAAACCTCCCCAGTGTCACCTGCAACAACACTTGCTAATGGGAGTGAAAACTTTGCGATACATAATACCTTTGCCATGAAGAACCTGTCTTCATTGTCAGTGGGAACACGATTAACTATAAAAGTGGACTGGTTTGGAGTGTACAATGTCACAGCAACAAACAGTCAGGGCAGTGAAACTATCAGCTTTTCAGCTGTGGCCAAAGGTGAACAGATGCTACTTTTGTACTTTCATATAATACAATAATTGTTATAAACTGTTTATGATAGTAACATACAGTCATTAGCTCACCTGCCCATTAAAGGACAATATAGGCAGTGGCGTAGTATTCATTGTTTATCGCCCAGCATCAACATTGAAGTTAAACAACAATAAAGGTACAAAAAGGTCAAATAAGAAAAAAAATAACACTGCTTTTGTAACAAGAGCAAGACTGGCCTATTATTATTTCATTCCACATACATGTATGGGGACAGAGGGGCATTGCCCAATAGGAAAAATACAGGTAAATGTATAAAATCCTTCTTTATGAATGGAAATATTTTAACAGAGAATTTAACCAAATTTATTTAGGGAAGCTTTTGGCAAAATGTTCTGGATTTTGTATAAGCAGGAGGTGTGCCTGCTCAGGTGGCAGAGCAACAGGCCCAATAATGGAAAGAGATTCAAATCTTTAAAATCCTTCTCACTCTGTATGAATGGAGGGATGTTAACCAATTTTGTTGTAAAGCATCCTTAGGCGCTGGGAACTCAATTTTGTATTTGAAATGGCCCCTAGAGGGACAAGGCATAATATTTAAATTATGATTAATGTCCTATTTTTGAAATGTTTGAGATCCCCACCCTATATATCCAATACAAAATTTATTAAACACTTTGAGAGGCTTTTAACGTCACAGGGGTCAAATATGTCAAATGCTTCAAATGACTTCTGATAAAGATTGGCTGGTGACTTCCTGGGATTTAGCCCAACAAAGTTTGAGAATGAAAATGACCTTGACTTACTTTCAAGGTCACAGAAGTCAGATATGTCTAATGTTTAAAACGACTTCTTCTGAAGAACTGAAACGTATAGAAGCTAAATATTTGGTAGGTAGCTTCCTGGGAAAAGAGCTTAACAAAGTCTGAGAATGAAAATGACTTTGACCTACTTTTAAGGGCATAAAGGCATAAAATTATAATATTTGGCTGGTGACTTCCTGGGATAGAGCTCACCACAGTTTGCGAATGAAAATGACCTCAACCTACTTTAGAGGTCACAGAGGTCAACAACATTTTAAAGGATTTGTTTTTAAGAACTAAAAGGAATGGATTCATAAGATTTGGCTGGTACCATTTTGGAATAAAGCTTACCAATTTGAGAAGGAAAATGACTTTGACCTACTTACAAGGTCAAAGGGGAAAATATGTCAAGCAACTTCTGCAGAAGAATAAAAAAGTATAGAATCTTTATAACAATATATTTTTCAACAGATGGAGCCAACAAAGTTTGCGTGGGAAATATTTGTAGTGCAATATAATATTTAATGAGAAGATTTTGCTATGACTGCTTAACTATTCAGGTGAGCGATACAGGCCCTCTGGGCCTCTTGTATTATTATTTTATTAGCTTACCTGCCCACAGGGAATGTGGGCTTATTCCATGGAGCAGCGTCCGTCGTCTGTCCGTTTGTTAACTTTTCCTTTAAAATGTGCTCGAGATGAGGGCTGTTCTGTTGGCTCTGCAGTCTCTTCGGGAGATCCTGCATTCCAAGGTGGTTTGTGTGGCTACGGACAACTCTTAAGTTGTCGCTTATCTGAAGAGACAGGTGGGAACCAGGTCTCACACTCTGTGTGCCCTCGCTATCCGCATTCTTCTTCTTTGTCAGGAAATGCAGTTGACAATTTGTGTCAAGCATCTACCAGGCAGGTTGAATGTTCTGGTGGATACTCTTTCCAGGCACCGCCCGCCGGTTTTTACAGAGTGGCAACTGAATCACTCGATTTTTGTAGGGAAATTGTCAGGTCCGGAGATCTTCCACCTTCACGCCTGGAAGCTATCTCAGGAGGCCTCGCTAGGGCGGGCTTTTCTAGGACGTGTCAGATCACATCGCTCGATCAGGTAGGTCTTCCTCATCTGCCTTCTACCAGTCACAGTGGAAGATTTATTGTGATTGGTGTGTCAGCAGGAAGGTTGATCCCATCAAGGCTACTGTCCAGGTGATTGCAGACTTCCTTCTTCTGTTCAGGGACGGCAATATTGCCCCTGGCACTATCGCTGGTTATCGCACGGCCATTGCTAGTGTTCTCTCTGTTCATGGTAGGTCGGAGGTAGGCTCGTCCTCCTCTCTTTCTGCCTTGATTAGGAGGTTTGGGTTGGACAGGCCTAGGGTCCGGCAGTTGGCTCCACAGTGGAATTTGCCACTGGTGCTCGAATCGCTGATGCGGGCAATTTATGAGCCTTTAGTGTCTGCCTCCTTGAAATTTGTTACCTACAAGGCAGTATTCCTTATTGCCTTGGTCATGCCTTGTCTTCTCACCCCTCTTGCCTCCGGTGGTCCAGGAATTACTCTGCCGTTATCCTTCTCACTGATCCTGCCTTCATGGCTAAGATTCAGGTTCCTGGCTTCTCGCCCAGTCCTATTAAGATTTCGTCTTTGACTGCCTTCGTTGGGTCTGAGGAGCAGGATAGGTTGCTCTGTCCCTGTCAAAGAATTTTCACAGAATCAAAATATTTGAATTCTTTCTTCTTCTGTATGATTAGATTGATTTTAAACTAATTTTGAGAAGAGCATCCTTGGGGGCAATTGGGACTCAATTTTGTAAAACGAAGGGTATGCCCCCTCCACCCCCCACCCTCTGGGGACAGAGGGTTGGGACCAAATGGAGGTAAATCTTTAAAATTCTTTTCTTCTTTCTTGATTGGAGGAATTGTTACTAAAATTTGTGGGAAGTATCTTTGGGCAGAGGGGACCCAATTTGGTATAAACAGAGGATATGTGCCCCTCCCCCTTGGGGCAGGGGCCAATAGGGGACTTGAGGTAAATCTTCGAAAGTCCTTCTTCAGTTTGATTGTAATGATTTTAAACAAATTTGTTCCATTTTGCAAGGGGGAATCAGTTTTGTATAAAAAGAAATTGTGACCCCTTGGGGTAGAGGGGCTGGGCCCAATAGGGGGAACATATAGTGCTACATGTTTAAAATCTTTTTCTTCAGCAAATTTGAAGGGATTTCTGAAGAGCATCCTTTGGCATCATTTTTCTATAAATTGAAGATTGTTATGTTAAAACTAGCAGCCTCTGTTCCTTCCACTTTCACATGGTAGGAAATTTCACAAATGGATGGATTAATATCGTTAGTGAAATTAAAAGCCTCATGAATATGAGCAACTATACAGTAAATGTTTCATTTTAATGATATTCTTGGAGTGTTGAGAGTGTTTTATCAGAAGAAAATGGCATATCATGGTATTTTTGTTTTAAGTGGCCAGTTACATCAGGCTAAACAAGTGCACATATTGGCACACACCAATCCAATTTACAAAAAGAAATCACCTCTTTTAACTTACCAACTACCCGCTTCCCAGGTTAAGAAAAAATAAATTGGTGCATGTTTTTCATTTTCTCTCCCAGGAAAACCAGACCTTCCAAAGGATGGAAAAGTTATTTGCCCTTACCAAGACCGTGCTATCCTAAGCTGGAGTCCAGCGTTCAATGGGGGATCTACCCAGACATTTGCTGTGGGGATAAAGATTCATCAGGATGACAGTTTTATAATTGATAAAAGCCTGAATAATTTAAATGATCCAGGGCCTCGGCAAATCATCAACATTACAGTATCAGGTCTGACATCTGATACACAGCATTTTTTTATGGTATATGCTAGGAATGACTTTGGCAACTCAACATTTGAGGAGGAAATCAACTGTACAACTAAAGGTAATGTTATTCAGTCTTATTTTTATCCTTAATCACTTAACCGAACATAAAACATTTATCATATAAACTCAACACTAATGTACAGTATCTGTATGGGTGTTGCCTTCGACAGTCCAACTGCTTTATTGTATAAAAATACAAGAAAAATAGAAGCATGTATTCCTTCCAAGTGTTCATTTATACTAAAACTTGCAATTACAAAAGGATGCAAAGGCTTCAACTACTCTGAAACATTCAACTTTAAAAAAATGGTGTGCTTGCCTAGACTGCCAAGATTTGAATGACCACTGTTACCACTTTACTTTTTCACTACAACTCTTGACAGGCAAGTAATACAAACACCATATAAAGTCATGTGACCTTCACGTTAAATTCAATTACCTGTACTATCTTGTCCTACAAACTAGACACCCATGACACTTCTATGTTTATTAACATTGGTGTCACAATTGGCTATGATTTCATTTCTTAAAACATTCACCAAAAATAATAATTCCTTATTTGTTGTTTATTTTTTTAAGCTGAGCCTGCCCCTGAAAGCTCTCATTTAGGACCAATAATTGGAGGAGTGGTTGGATCGATAGTAGCAATCATCGCAGTGATTGTTATCATCATCATTGTCAAAGCAAAAAGAAGGAAGTCGGGAAGGAAAAGAAAAGGTAAAATGGTCATATCTTTTTTAGGTCACCTGAGAGAAAGTCTCAAGTGACCTATTCTAATCGCCCTTTGTCCGTCATAGTCCATCGTGCATCGTCTGTCGACCGTCCATATTCGACATCTCAAAACCGCTGATCTGATTTCAATAACATTTTGCAGAAACCTTCCTTGGTCAAATATGCACCAAAAATGTGAATTATATATGGTTCCCACCCCAGGGGCACTGAGGGGCGGGGCTAAAAGTGGTCAAATTGGCTTAAATTTTAAAAATCTTCTCCAGACCCAGTTATGCTGGAAACCAATACTCTTCATAGGTGGAAGAGTCTTGAGGTACTTTATCTAAATTGTGAATTTCATGACCCTTGAGCTTCACCTTTGCCCCTGGGGAGAGGGTGAAATTTACTTTAGTTTATATAGGAAAATGCAACTTTTGGGTATATTTTGTTTATATTCTACTGGAAATCATTTAACCTTGATTTACATTATAACCATGAGATGACAGTTTGATACTTTGACAATTTTTAGCTCACCTGGCACAAAGTGCCCTTATGCCGTGGCGCGGCGTCCGTCGTCCGTACGTCCGTCCATCCGGCGTCCGGCGTCAATATTTTACTTTAAACGACTTCTTCTTAATAACCAAAAGGCCTAGGGCGATGATATTTGGCCAGTAGCAGGGTTGGGAGAAGGGCGACCAAGTTTGTTCAAATGAATGACCTTCAATAATATGCAAGGTCACAGGGGTCAATTGTCTTAAAAAACCTTTAAACATCTTCTTCTCGATAACCAAACGGGCCATGGAGATGATATTTGGCCAGTCGCATGTTTGGGTGAAGGGCTACCTAGTTTGTTCAAATGAATGACCTTCAATAATATGCAAGGTCACAGGAGTCAATTGTCTTAAAAACTACTGGAAATCATTTAACCTTGATTTACATTCTAACCATGAGATGACAGTTTGATACTTTGACAATTTTTGGCTCACCTGGCACAAAGTGCCCTTATGCCGTAGCGCGGCGTCCGTCGTCCGTGCGTCCGTCCATCCGGCGTCCGGCGTCAATATTTTACTTTAAACGATTTCTTCTTAATAACCAAAAGGCCTAGGGCGATGATATTTGGCCAGAAGCAAACTGGGATGAAGGGGTCACAAAGTTTGTTAAAATTAATGACCTTCCCCCATTTTCAAGGTCACAGGGGTCAAATATGTTAAAAAAAATAAACATCTTCTTCTCGATAACCAAACTGGCCATGGAGATGATATTTGGCCAGTAGCATGTTTGGGTGAAGGGCTACCAAGTTTGTTCAAATGAATGACCTTCAATAATATGCAAGGTCACAGGGGTCAATTGTCTTAAAAAACCTTTAAACATCTTCTTCTCGATAACCAAACTGCCCATGGAGATGATATTTGGCCAGTAGCATGCTTGGGTGAAGGGCTAACAAGTTTGTTCAAATTAATGACCACCCATTTTCAAGGTCACAGGGGTCAAATATGTTAAGAACTTTAAACAACTTCTTCTGAATAACCCAAATGCCCTGGGTGATGATATTTGGCCAGTAGCATGCTGGGATGAAGGGCTACCAAGTTTGTTCAAATGGATGATCTTCAATTATATTCAAGGTCACAGGGGTCAATTGTCTTAAAAACACCTTTGAACGACTTCTTCTTAATAACCAAAAGGCCTAGGGTGATGATATTTGGCCAGAAGCAAACTGGGATGAAGGGGCCACAAAGTTTGTTAAAATTAATGACCTTCACCCATTTTCAAGAACACAGGGGTCAAATATGTTAAAAAAAAAATAAACATCTTCTCGATAACCAAACTGCCCATGGAGATGATATTTGGCCAGTAGCATGTTTGGGTGAAGGGCTACCAAGTTTGTTCAAATTAATGACCTTCACCCATTTTCAAGGTCACAGGGGTCAAATATGTTAAAAAAAAATAAACATCTTCTCGATAACCAAACCGCCCATGGAGATGATATTTGGCCAGTAGCATGTTTGGGTGAAGGGCTACCAAGTTTGTTCAAATGAATGACCTTCAATAATATGCAAGGTCACAGGAGTCAATTGTCTTAAAAAACCTTTAAACATCTTCTTGTCGATAACCAAACTGCCCATGGAGATGATATTTGGCCAGTAGCATGCTTGGGTGAAGGGCTACCAAGTTTGTTCAAATGAATGACCTTCAATAATATGCAAGGTCACAGGAGTCAATTGTCTTAAAAAACCTTTAAACATCTTCTTGTCGATAACCAAACTGCCCATGGAGATGATATTTGGCCAGTAGCATGCTTGGGTGAAGGGCTACCAAGTTTGTTCAAATTAATGACCTTCACCCATTTTCAAGGTCACAGGGGTCAAATATGTTAAAAACTTTAAACAACTTCTTCTGAATAACCAAAATGCCCTGGGCGATGATATTTGGCCAGTAGCATGCTGGGATGAAGGGCTACCAAGTTTGTGCAAACGGATGACCTTCAATTATATTCAAGGTCACAAGGGTCAATTGTTTTAAAAAAAACTTTGAACGACTTCTTCTTAATAACCAAAAGGCCTAGGGTGATGATATTTGGCCAGAAGCAAACTTGGATGAAGGGGCCACAAAGTTTGTTAAAATTAATTACCTTCACCCATTTTCAAGGTCACAGGGGTCAAATATGTTAAAAAAAAAATAAACATCTTCTTCTCGATAACCAAACTGCCCATGGAGATGATATTTGGCCAGAAGCATGTTTGGGTGAAGGGCTACCAAGTTTGTTCAAATGAATGACCTTTAATAATATGCAAGGTCACAGGAGTCAATTGTCTTAAAAAACCTTTGGACATCTTCTTCTCGATAACCAAACTGCCCATGGAGATGATATTTGGCCAGTAGCATGCTTGGGTGAAGGGCTACCAAGTTTGTTCAAATGAATGACCTTCAATTATATTCAAGGTCACAAGGGGTCAATTGTCTTAAAAAAACCTTTAAACATCTTCTTCTGAATAACCAAACTGTCCAGGGTGATGATATTTGGCCAGTAGCATGCTGAGATGAAAGGCTACAAAGTTTGTTCAAATGAATGACCTTCACCCATATTCAAGAAACAACTTCTTCAGAAAAACGAAGAGGCCTAGGGTGATAATATTTGGCCAGTAACATGCTGGGATGAAGGGCTGCCAGGATTTTTCAAATAAATGACCTAGACTTATATTCAAGGTCACAGGTGTCAAATATGTTAAAAACATTTAATCAATTTCTTCTGAATAACCAAGAGGCCTAGGGTGATGATAGTTGGCCAGTAACATGCTGGGATGAAGGGCTACGAGGTTTGTTTAAATAAATGACCTTGACTTATATTCAAGGTCACAGAGGGCAAATATGTCTTAAACATTTAAACAACTTCTTCTGAATAACCAATAGGCTGAGGGTGATGATATTTGGCTAGTAGCATGCTGGGATGAAGGGCTATAAAGTTTGTTCAAATGAATGACCATCATCTTTTTCCAAGGTCACAGGGTTAAATATGTTCTAAACCTTTAAACAACTTCTTCTGAATAACCAAGAGGCCTAGGATAATGCCAGTAACATGCTGGGATGAAGGACTACCAAGTTCAAATAAATGACCTTGACATATGTGTTTTAAGGTCACGGGTCAAATATGTTTAAAACCAAGTGAATGACCTTCACCCATATTCAAGGTCACTGGTCAATATATGTTTATATCTTTAAATGATTTGTTTGTATAACCAAAAGGACCAGGGTAATGATATTTTTTCCAGAAGCATGCTGGGTTGGAAGACTATAAACTCTGTTCAACCTAATATTATAATGTCCTTGTTCGACAATCAAGGTCACAGGTGTCATATGTTTAAATCTTTTAATAGGTTCTTATGAATGAAACACTGATATTTTGCCTGTAGCTGTATTTTAGTCCACTTTTAAGATTACTTATCTTACAAATATCAAATTTTAGGACGGAAGGGAAAATTCTTTGAGAATCAGCCTGAAGGCTGAGGGGAATAATTCTTGTATTTCATGCTTGTTCGAGCATGCGCACACTCCTTTCAAAGAGTTAAAATATATGCAAATTAGGCCGTATAAAACCGGCCCACGAAGTCCACCCGGCAACCTTTAAAGCATAAAGATCAGTTGTTGACAAAATCAGGGCGGTTAACATGGGGGGGAAAGAAAATTATTCCCTCAGCCTTCAGGCTGATTCTCAAAGAATCCTCCTTATCCGTCACTAAAGCTCGGATGATGGGGGAATTCTTTTCCGAACAACCTTTCGGCTTTCGGGGAATAATTCTTGCATGTTTAAAGTTTTGTCAACATCTGAATAACATCAACCAACATAGAGAAAATAATAACTCCAGGCTAAAAATTCATTCAAATATATAATTCTGTGAAAACTCAACAAAACATTCACAATTTATGTTGAAACCCGCGCCAATATGGAATTGGAGAATTCAGTCGCCGAAACATCTGTATCACGACGATAAAATTTAGCAAATGTACTAGCCGAAGCCCATTTTGCTGTCCGCAAAATGCTGCCCATGGGTACACCACCCGCATAGGCAGCCGATGTAGAGGCTCCTCTAGTGGAATGTGCTTTGAAACAATTGTCCACACCAGCACTTCCAAGAACAGTTTTTACCCATCTGGCAATAGTTGAGGTTAATACCGCCTCAAAAGTTTTAAATGAAACAAAAAGTTTCCTACTCTTCCTTTGATTCTAAGTAACCTCCAAGTATCGTATTAAAGTCGATATTACACATAGTCTTACATCAATATATTTACATAATCTGAGCGTTTGATTCGCATGCCCAGGTCGTGAAGTCTTTAACAGATCTCTAATAACAAAAGTATAAACACTTCCATCGGATGATCGATGCATAAAATCTATGTCTAGAGCTCCCAGGGTTTGAGCCCTCTGGGCTGTCATCAAAGCAACCAATGTCACTAATTTCATTGACAACTCCCGCAAAGACATATCTTCTACCGCAGGTAAAGTTTTTATG